ATGTAAAGGTCCTGCGCCATCACTTTTCCCACCGAATGCTGAAGGTGCTGGAAATTTTCGGCGGACGCTAACCAAGGCTACGCGGATATCTCATATTAGTGTATCAGATTTTGAGTGACCCCAACCACGTATGCCGCCATTTACTGAAACTTAGCTACAACACGCAGCTCAGGGGTAACTGCATAAATTGAAGGAACAATACAGCCGTCTAGAGTGTCGACGGAATTACGTTTCCCTTCTGGTTTGCTAAGCATGGAACGCACCTCCAGATTCGGTCGTATCCTCCCCTCCCTTGGACGTTTTAAAAATCGATTAGATGTTGCTCTTAGCTCCCAGCATTTTGTTACCTAAATTCCTCTATTGTGAATTACGCAAAGCATGCTTTCAACAAGATTTATGTATCAAAAGGGCCCAAGTGAGCGACCATATTTTACTTTTCTCACGCCTTATATCAACAATCACTGCACCCCAGTGTCTTTCTGAACGTTTACACTCGATTTTTTAAAAAGTTTACGCTAATGTTATTTATCAAAGTATTCGTCTAGGCAGACGTTCGGTAGATGACCCGGATATGTTTTGATTTCATCATATTCACCCAAGCCATCCTACGGGATGTGTCAAGCATTTGCTTTCATGCCGTGATAAACCATTGTTCATTGTTCATGTCTCGCGCTTAGGCGACGATAAGTTTGATGAGATCGCACCAACATCAGCGTTTCCTAGTCACCTACTCCCAACGCATAAGATCAGTACCTAATCAGAACAAATCAATTCATTTATTGTCATGGCATCGCAACGTTGGTTTGCCCCATTCCAAATGCTGGCACTCAGTTGCCCATAGGACAGTTGCTTCTGTATTCTCGTCTCATTCATACGGCTCATATGTCCGAGCCACCTGAGGTGTTGCAGCAGTAGCAGGTAGTCCATTGTGTATACCGTTTGGCGATGGATCAAGTCAGTGTAGGGCGCAGTGTCATTCTAGTGGATGCACAGTATTCGGCGCAGGCACTTTTGATGGAATCGTTTCAGATACTGGGTACGCTTTCTGTACAATATCCACGTTTCACTTCCATATGTAAGGACCAAGATGACCATCGCTTTGTGCACCATCACCTTGCTTCTAACAGCGAGACGATGATTTTTCCACACCCGATGTTCCAGTTTCCCGATAGCCGCACTTGTCTTCGCTACACGAACGCATAGCTCGCCGGTGATTGGCAGGTCAGTTGACGACGTTTATAGTATATCATCAGTAACGCGTATTTTCGACCTGTAAGTTGGGGCTATTCCCGGTGCCAGGCTGAAACAGGCATGATGTGTTGTCCATGTTTATGCGAAACCCGAACTTAATCACCGTGGAAGCTACTGCAATCGTCACACATTGCAGTTCTTTCTCACTTTGTGCAAACCACACACAGTTGTCGGCAAGCAGCAGCATCCGGATGGTTATCTGAAGCACTAAGCTGCTTGCTCCAAAGTCAAGGTTAGAAGCGGTTAAAAAACACTGTAACATCGTCCAAATATGACTACTCCTCAGTCCGCTTGAGAAGCCACTCTCATCATGTAATTATTGTTTGCTGCTAGAGATAGGCTGTATTTTACGGAGTGGTAATCAGTGATCTCGATGGCTTATAATTTCGCACTCAAGTAATGAGCATTGTGTGATAGGGTAACACACTTTGGCTGACGGTTAGCATAAAACTACGAATTCACAAATCGTGCATTGTACATGACTCACCAAAGGGTTTTGGCGTAAACAGATGTTAGGTGTTTAGGATTGTTTATGACACTGTTCATTGGTTGTTGTCCACTAATGCCATCAACTGATGGTCATTTGCTATATGACCTATTATAAATATGTAAGGGTATCGTAAACTGACAAGGTGAGGGCATACATTACATGGACTGGAACTGTGTTCCAGGACTGAAATTTGAAGGAAGGAAAGTTACCTTCACATTCCAGTCGGTTGTACAGCGTGACCAAATTGAACAGAGGACCAATTAGAAATGTGTTTTAACTGTTTTAAAATACAGTGACCAGAGTGGTTTGGGTTTCTCAGGATCGGCTACACCATGACGAGATCTGGAGTTAGACGCTGCTCTTTCTCTACGCTTAGGGGACGACATGGTTTCTGACGGCCACCAAAATTCTGTTTGCCAAACGCTCTCAAATGAAATCAAAAATAACAGTTGTTGGATTTGTATTTGCTTGTTTAGCAAATTGTTCGAGCCCAGACGTTTCGACGTTCATTAATAGTATATACCCAAATGTGTCAATAGGTAGTTCACTGGTGAAAGCTGGTCCAATCCAGTCACAGCTGCCGTCGTCTACTTTTCAGCTTTTCGTATAGTTTACATACGTTCCTGACTGCGTTTTGTCCCGAATGTTTTTGCTCACTGTTACCTGCGCGATTACACATAACAGCTGCGGAGACCAATGCTAAGTATCAATTGTATTGACAATTCTATTGGAACAGTGGTATTGGCGGTCCCTACAGGCATTTACGTTGGCTGTTCTGTTCGACAACCTGTCCTTTTCTCATGTCGCCCAGAGCATTTATTCACAAGTGTGTCATTAGAAGACGTCCAGAAATAGACTACGAAATGCTACTTCAATCGCTATTTATGTAAAAAGCAATTTCTCAAGCCTAATCGAATTTGACCAATTAACGATGCACAATGATTTATGACGGGTAACAAAGCAGTTGCTTAACATGTCCCGTAGGGTGGTTAGAGTGAGAAAAGATAGATCAAGGGATAATGGGAATGGTCGGTTCAGGCGATTACAGATATAACTGCGTTGCCGTGTAAAGGGAGTTTAAAATGAGAATGTGCGCACATAAAGCAATAAGGGAGTGGTTATTGACCACTTAATAGGCGAGAAAAAAAACTAAAAAATGGCAGGGACAACGCTTAATCGTGTGCACCTATCTTGGGTCGACGGGATACAAAAATCCAGTTACAGTAGTAGCATTTATCAAATTATGTGCAAAGGATTTGAAGTGACTCAATTTGGACTAGGGTTATGGCACTGTCCACTGTCTGTTGTGCATTAGTGCCAGCGTCTGGTGGTCATGGGTTATGACACTTAGTGTAACTGTGACAGAGTATCGTCAAGGCGTTTTTTGAAAAGCGATAGCGCGAGAGCATGAATTACATGTTTCGGGAGGGCGTTCCAAGGCTGTGACACTTGAAGGAATAAATCGTTTCGCCGACATCCCAGTCGGCTGCACTGCGTGACCGGCTTAAACTGATAACCTCTTAACGGGGTGTTTTGACTGAGTATCGGAAGGGAATGGCATGGGTGGTTGGGGTTTCTCAAGATCTGGTACACCATTATGAGATCGCCCCTTAGACGCCCTTAACGTCCACTGTATATTTTGATAGCCTTCAGCTTGTGTGGGTAGGGGAGGCTGGTCAAACCTCTTTTACTCTTCGTTGCCTTACGTTGTGCAGTACCAAGCGCGGTGAGATTGTGCTTGAGCCAGAATCGCCACGCTTGAATAGCGTATTCCGCAGTTACGCACTAAGCATTTTTGGAAAGTCTGAAGGGCCAAACTTCCCATAAACTCTGCGAAGAAAGCCGATGTACTGGTTTGCTTTCTCAGATGTCTTTTCAGTCTGCCTGGAACAACCGAGGTCATCTTGAGCTATCACGCCGAGATGGCACTCGTGAGAAGCTCGCTGCAGAATGTGTGGTCCTAGGCGGTACTTGTGCATACTCTTGTGCCGCATGCAGAGAATTTTGCACTTGGTGACGTTGGAATGCAGCATGTTCACGATGGACCGTGTGTACGGTTTGTCCAGGTAATCCTGTAACGCTGTGTGATCCTCCACTGCAGCCGTAGTACGCCATACCTTTAGATCATCAACAAATAGCAAACAGTTAGAAGATAGCACGCTCGCGAGATCAATTATGAAAACCAGGAACAGGCGGGGTCCAAGTACCGAGCCCTGAGGTACGCCGCACTGAACTTCGATGCATTCCGAAGGTTGCTTCCAACACTCACATTCAGGTGACGTTGCACAAGAAAGTCTCCTATCTAGTCCAGAACAGGATCGCCGATTCCATATTTCTGGAGTTTGTGGACTAGAATGCGATGGTCTAGACGGTCGAATGCCTTTAAGAAACCCAGGTAGGCAATGTCGACTCCTACCTTAGCGTCCACAGATTCCGTCCAGCTTGTACCAGCAATCAACAGATTAGTGGTACAGGACCGATTTTGGTGAAATCCGTGCTGCCCCGGAACGAGAATTTTGTTGTTCTCCAGCTAACCCATCCAAGCTTCAGTTACAATGGAGTCCGTAACTTTGGAGATCACAGAAAGTAGTGTTATCGGGCGATAATTTGTATCTTAATCTACATATGTGTGCTGAGGTTAAGTACGATGCGTAATTACTCCTACATGCTTGTCTGTTCACCCATACTCTTACTGATATGTTAAATCCGGCCTGGTGTGCTTAGTCTTTACTGTGCTTTTGACACTCGACTCCTTGTGCAGGACTTCTTCCTTCGTGTGCCTTCGGTCTTTCATCGCTTGTGCATGCTCGCTGGTTGTAATAGTATGATTTAGAAATCTCCGCTTCACAGCTCAAAGTGAGTAGGAATTTCTTGTACTGTAGCGAGATCCATTCGGTTTACTGAATGGATTAACAAACACACGTTGCAATAGAAGAAGAAGGCTTTAACATTTGCATAAAATGTTACATTCACAAGGGATATTGGAAATTTTTCGTGCATCCTGTAGCAATTCATTCATATCCTGGGCATTTCGCGTTTTATTCAAAGGAGGAATTCATCGAATTATTAAATTTGTCCTTGTAGTCTAGACTTGGATTATTTACAATATTAAATGGAGGCGAAATAGCTGGCCATCAAACCGCGGCAAAGGACATGCAGTGAATTTCACCACAAGCAATTACCAGGACAATCAGAAATGAATAAATAAAGGTTAAGCTTTGTATACATACCACACATTTACACATATTCATTTAAAAATTTATATTGACTGGGAAAGTAACGGCCGGCTCATTGTAGCGTTTATTGCCCATGTTGGTACAGAGTCGAGCTTGAAAAGCGGTCTTGCGTAGGTTACCATTGCCACGAAAGTGACAAGGTTCCCGATGATGTTGAGGGGAATACCAGTTTTCAACTGAAAGGAATCGTGAAAAAAACACATGATTGAAAAAGGGATTACAAATGCGTTGACATAAGAATGAGCTGAAAAATGGACGTTGCAAGATTGCAAATTCAGGTTACATAAAATGTAGTATCCAAAGAGTCAGTTAAGTCCGAGGCTGGGGAATGTTTACTTAATTCCATAAATACGATAAGTGCTTCTTTATAACCAAGCATAGAGGTAACGAACTTGTCTCGTTGTCTTGCGGCGCGGGTTCCAGACCGCCTAGGGGTGGGCATCCTCGCAGTATACTAAGCCCCGTGCGACTGGTGGTGATCGCACGGCAACGAAGCGCCGTTAAGGCTTACAACTGACAAATTATTATTATTATTATTATTAACCATTCATCAAGCGATGAAGACCACTTGTGGCAAAATGTTTCTTTATTTCAAATTGTTTTACCTTTCGACAAATGTTTTGTGAAGTTATACTGATTACGGCTGATCTGGTCTTCAGACGCTGCAAGGCGTATGGTAGCGAAAACACCGATGCAACATAAGACCAAAGTTTGTAAAGAAACCATCAAATTCTTTTCGATCACATATGCAACATGATTGTCAGCTGGCTAAGTAGCATGAGACTGGTGAAGTGAAATCTCAGCTTAGCCAACCGATTAGACTACGGTAGTAAAAGCAACGTAGTGCACTGGATGGCCGTTTCAACTTGTTTTGAGCGCAGCAGTAGCGATGGTGTCTACCAATTAAAGCACAACAGTTGGGTCACTGAGATTTTGCATATTTTGTATTGCATAATAACGACGTACATTGCGTTCGATGGTTTTATTTCATCACTGGTCACTAGTGTTAAAAACTTTTGTCCGTGTTCTCTTACTTCGTTGCAATTTTTCATCTCTACTAAACGTTAGTTGTATGCTGGCATGAACTAGGACAACGGATTTAACCAAACCTCTATAACATAACCAACTAAATTAAGCAAAGCCATTTGAATGAAATAAATTTCATGACCAAAGCAATAGCCCCATATTGATAAACTGCTACTGTAGGTGGTAGAAGGGTAACTGGCAACTTTCCGACATGGGATCATCAGTTCAAAGGTACTGATGAAATTAGCAAGCATATTTACCTAAAGGCGCATAACATGACGACAGTGATCTAAGAAGGTGCATACTTAAATGCACCCGTAGGTCATCTGCACTCTTGGTATACAACAGCTACAGGATAAGTTCCTCGGTATCATCGCAACCAAAATTCGTACAGAATTTCTATAAAAATCAAGCGAGCGGTGTTCTCTGTTATTTATTAACATATGCACTGTCTTGTGGTAGAGTTACATGATCACAGTAAGCTCCTGTGCAGAAAGCAACAACATTTAACTTTAACTTTAATATTTCCTTTCATTTGAGCTCGATGACAAGCGCTATTTCATCAGATATATGCAAAGTGAATTTCTTGAAGGATGATCCAAAAATATACCGTCAATTAGAACATGGAGCACTCGCATACTAAAAAGCGCCAATGGAAACAATATCTCAAACAATGAGTTGCGAACATGAATAAGATGGGATCAGCAATATTCCAGTAAATTAACACGATTGCAGCAGAAAGCAATAATCTATTTTCATTAGTAAAACAATTGTTGTTTAGCACAAAGCGATAATTTAACTAGTGGATATGAACCTGATTCCACCAATAATGACGAAACCTATCCCATTTATAATGCACAATGGCTACTATTCTTTCGGAGGACCGAGCACAATATCGGCTTAAATTGCTTATTAGTGAGGTGCGCCCATATGTGGAATAAACTACTGTTGCAATTACGATACAGTGTGAGACTTTATTTAGATCTCCTTTAAATACTCCTCTTTCCACCCCAAATCTGATCCAAAGTTTCGGTCTTTAGCCTTCCGAGAGTGCACTCATGCGATCCGGCCCGAAAAACGCATGACAAAGGTAACTACTGAAGTATCTTGGTCATTACCTACTCTACAAAACATTGAATCATTGTTTCATGTTTAATGCAAGTTTACGAATAAAATGTTGACGAAACTTGCTGTACAATAGCTTGTTTCACTAGAAAATAGCTTTACCGCCCGTCGGGGTATATGCACCCTTATTTATTTAGTTATTGGATATTTTCAATGCAATGACCCCAAAGCCAAGCATAGCGCCGATTTACAACGTGATGAGCCCAAAATTTTCTTTAATTTACCCCTTAATGTTTAGCTGGTAAACGGGCTCATCGACTGCTCTGAAGCTGTAAGAAAAGTTTATTTCGCCCTTTAAAACGTGGTTCCTTATAAACAGCATTAAAATTAACAGAATGATCTCAATATTTTAATTTAGTTGTCCCTGTGGTTTGCGGTATTTTTCGCTTGTAAATGTCCCTTAACTGACTGGAACTAATCTAAAATTTTAAGCTTCTTTACCCATAAATTCATTGGCTACCTTGGGAGAACTGCGTGACTATTCCAGTGATCCAGTCAGAAAGTCTACTCAGTCTTAGCCTTTCTCTTGATTTAAAGGGCCCTTAAACGATGCTACAAATAACATCATTAGGAACTGGTAGCCAAAGATCCGAAAGCTAACAAATTTAGCCGACTACCATAGTTCATTAAACGGGACCATGATAGACACATTTATCAAACATTGGAGTGAACGGGTAAAAATTGAAAACTATCCCGCTCCATGCATTTCATCGGTACCGGGTGCTGGTTTCATGGACGTGGTTTGCTACCAAAGCACCAAGTCAAGTTTGGATGCCAGTCTACCTCATTTGTTTTGTGAAAAGTCGGGACACAAATCTTAAACACAACCCACGTTTACCTCGACTGCACCCCATTCATATCGGTCGTCGGAAAAGTAGTTCAGTGCTTCAGAATAACCATCACTTGGTCACTAATTTCTGTGACAACCTCCTTCTACTACTTCAAAATGCCTAGGCAGAATCGTCGACTAAACGCAACAGTGTCCCAGTTTCGATTCGCACGATAAACGAATACAAGCTCGGTCGTGAAAGGTGGCGTTACGAGCGAGTACTACGCGTAATGTAGCACAAAGAGTTGCTTACCATGTGAAGTACTTTAACACGTCCGTTGGAGAACACAATGGAGTTTGGAGCTGTCGCAGCTGGGAGTGAAAAAGCAAACGATGCCCCAACGGTTGCGGGTAAAGTGAGCAGAAATGGGTGAAGCTTCAGTTCGGAAGACTTGAAAAAGGAAGACGAAGTAAAGTTCGTTTGAATGGAAAAATGGAGTTAAATAGTCAACGGGTGTTTAAACCACTGTCAAGACGCAGAAAATACTTGAAATCACACTTACCAAACTGAACAATATCGGTAGCAGCAGGGACGCAGTGGCAGCATTTGAAGTGAACTCCGTCAAACAGGTGGTGATTTGTGATGTTGAGTAGAGGAGAGCAAGCTTTGGAAGGCCGCCAAACTTTCTTCCAAGGAAGCTGCTTATTTCATCCATCAGACCGGAAAACTAAAGTAGTAAATTATGACAGAGACAATAGTATTATTTGAAGGTGACACTTATCTAGGGACAGCGTGCAAAGAGTATGACTGGTGACTTGCGGTGTTTTCAAAAAGAGAACAAAACAATAAAAGGCACGCAACGCACAACACAAATGTTTTTCCTGAAATAGGACATTGAAATTACATCTTGTGTTCGACTCATCTGCATCGTTATTATTGCTAAACTTTTCTTTCTGGCAGATAGAATGGTCTCCAGTACAAGTCGGATTAGAGTTCAGCAATAAACACTTACTTAACCTAGGTTATCTTCCAGATTTTCTCACAAAGCTTCGATTCTACATTTTGTGAATGCCATGCTACTGACTATGTGTTACATGGTAGATTTTTAAACTACTGTTTATCATCTCTGCTTACATTCTGGTTAACGTTTCGTTTGCCTTCTTGTGCATTTCCGGCCGAAGAATTAGTGGGATATTATGCAGAGTTTGACAAAGAAGGCAGTACATTTTATAGTTATTTTAAGTGGTTGTTTTAACTCATTCTTTGGCTGAATGCGCGCGATTTCTAAGTAAATTACTCAAAGCTAAACGGTAAAATGTATTAATTCGTGTGACCCCTTTCAGGATTTGCACAATCGGCTGCCTAGTGATAGTTAAAATCAATTGGCTATTTCCTTTTAATTGTTAGATTGAAGC